GAGCTGTCCCCGGCTGCCTGGCTTGCTTCAGAAGCCAAAAAGGGAGGGAGAAAGGGCGGGAAGTTCAAACTTCCCACCCTTTCTCCCCACCTTTTTAGCTTCGGAAGTTTCAAAGGGCTTCCTCCGACGTCAGAGGAAGCCTTTTGGGTTCGTAACTCAATCTGCGTTCGCAAGCAGGGTCTGCTACTTGCAATTAGATCGGGTTCATAACCCAAAACGTTCGCAACTAGGGCCGTTCGTAAGTCGAGGGCCCACTGTATTTCAATAATGTGCCCAATAAACTGGAACACCTTTTTAGCTTCGGAAGTTTCAAAGGGCTTCCTCCGACGTCAGAGGAAGCCTTTTGGGTTCGTAACTCAATCTGCGTTCGCAAGCAGGGTCTGCTACTTGCAATTAGATCGGGTTCATAACCCAAAACGTTCGCAACTAGGGCCGTTCGTAAGTCGAGGGCCCACTGTATTTCAATAATGTGCCCAATAAACTGGAATATCCCTCAGTCGGCAGACTGTGCAAGGTCACTAAGTGAATTAATGGATGAGTGGAAATGAAGTCTTGCTCTTGGGTTACATGCTTCCTATAATTCATTGACACTTAAAGATGCTGATTATCCTACACTAGTGGAACCGGTAAAATCACTCCTTAAATATCTCATACTGAATGCCCTATAAGTCTGTTCAGAGCACAGAATGTAGTTCTGAGTTATTAGTATGACAACTGGGGATCCTCCTGTAACTCCAGGTATCTCCTTATGAGTTTGATGTTTGTCACATTTTTATGTGGTACGGAAGTTGCCTGCTTGTGATTTTTTAAAATAATCCTGAAATAAACATAACATTTTGGACTTTTGGTACAATTATAGCATATCAAGATGATTCTTATCCATCCTTTCATTATTAAGTGCCATGACAGGAAACTTTCAAAACACAACAGAATCACTTTGTCTCATTTGCAATATCATACCTCAGTTCCTGTAATGTGCAAGAGGCCAGAAACAGCAGCTGCAATAGAGTCATAGCCTGCTTGTTGACACTTTGGACCAGTCTGTCCATATCCTTGAAACAGGGAGAGAGGGAAAAATTAAAATTGGAATTTCCAGTACAATTTACAGTGGCAGCCAGCCTTCTTAAAAAGTGTGCCATAAACAAAGCAAAAGCGACATGGAGTAAGTAGTCTATAAACAAAAACTAGTTTTAAGTACATTTCCTATTTTAACATTCATGGCCACAATTCTGTTGCACACAAGTGGCACACAGTTGCAGGGTTTCCACCACATAAGCCGTAGATCACCTTGTTGCTGCTTTGCACAAACTCAGAAAAAGTCAGATTATTAATAGTTAAAAATCCAAAAGAAACAACAGAGAGGCTTAAATCACATTTACAGGAATTTGAGGATGTAACGGGTTTAAAAGTAAACTGGGGAAAGTCAGAATGTTTATTGTTAAACCACTCAGATGAGGAGAAAAGAAGAATGAAAACAATATTTGAAGGGAAATGGGAAATTGTATTAAATATTTAGGGATTAACATTACCTGGAACTTACAAGATATAATTAAAATAAATTTGGATAGGTTGAAAAAAGAGATAACTGGACGGTTAAAAGATTATCAGAAATTAAAGATTTCCTGGTTTGGTTGAGTAGCATTATGTAACATGAACATTATTCCTAAATTAAACTTTGTATTTTGGATGCTTCCTATAAAGATTACAGAAAAACAATGGAAAGAATGGCAGACAATGATAAATTGTTATTGTAATGGATATAAATGAGTGAGGATCAATAAAAAAATTATGGTATCTAACACAAAAAATGGAAGTCTTGGATTACCAATTTAAAATTATATTACATAGCAAATCAACGTAGACATATCCCAGATAGTATTTAAAGCAATAAAAAGTGTAATTTGGTCAGAAATAGAAATGCATGGTAAGGAAGAAAAAACTGAAAGTATATTGTTTAAAGAAAAGTTTGGAGAAGAGATTAAAACGATCACTAACCCCTTCCTCAAAAACATGTTAGAATGCTGGAAAAAGTTTAAGAGTGTATTGAGCCCATCAATTTCTCCTTTATCCCAGGTTGTAGATTTAAAGAACTTTCCAGAAAATCTCAAAAAAAGCCTTTTAACAGCATATTAAAAGACAACGGTATAAATAGGATAAAAGATTGGATGGAGAAGTTGAAAGATAAAGGAAATATAAAAGAGATTTTCGGAGGAGAGGAGATTTCTTGGCTTAACATGCTCCAGATAGAAATGTGGACAAGGGAATGGAAAAGGAAGGAACGCAATAATAGAAAAATGACAAAATTTAAAGAGATCATTGAAAAAAGATTGAAACTAGAGGAAAAGACAGAAATGCAAGTCAGAATGGTCGTAAGGTACCACTGTAATGCAAAGGTGGTTAATCCATCCACTAGGGGAAGACTTTTTTAAAAGAACTAAGATGACCTCTAAGGTTTAAAAAAGGGCAGGACAGGAGGGAGGGAGGGAACAATGAGGAAAAGAGGCCTTTTTTCTGGTTGTATCTCAAAGCGCCAGTTGCAACTCAAAGCAAAATGTTGTGACCGGAGCTGGTTGTAACTCAGTTTGGTTGCAAGTCAAGGCACCATTGAAATTTAGTAGTTAGCAAACATGTTTGCTGAATTGGGATTGTAATTTTAACATTATGAAAATGTTAGGTAAAGGTAAAGGTTCCACTTGACAATTTTTCCAGTCGTGTCTGACTCTAGGGGGAGATGCTGATCTCCGTTTCGAACCCATAGAGCTAGCGTTTTGTCTGAAGACAATCTTGCGTGGTCATGAATAGACACGGAACGCTGTTACCTTCCCACCGAGGTGGTACCTATTTATCTACCTGCATTTGCATGTTTTCGAACTGGTAGGTTGGCAGGAGCTGGGACTAGCGATGGGAGCTCACTCCTTCGGGTGGATTCGATTTTATGATTGCAGGTCTTCTGACCTTGCAGCACAGAGGCTTCTGCAGTTTAACCCACAGTGCCATGCTTTAAAGAACAATGTCAAGTATCATCTCATGGCATTTACTGAATATGAAATAACACTAACATTAAGCAAATAAATTGGAATGGAGAGGGAAAGGGACAAGTTAAATTTCACCTCGGACAATGATGAGCAAACATATCTTGTGCAGGTGATCTGCAGATTTTCTCAGTTCTACATACCTGCCATGAAAGGTTAAGCAGGCTCATAGCCCTTCTGTTCCTGGCAACCTTTTATTCTATTCTGTATTAAAAGTGACCTGGAGTAGAAAGATCCATGCATCTACTAGTCTGTCACTGGACAGGTCTAACTGAATGCACAGATGCTCACTTTGCGAAGGGGAAATTAAGAAACTAATGAGAACTCCAGGTAGGAAAATTTGAGTTCAATTGAAATCTATGTCTTATCACTAAGGGCTCAGTCTCTAATGACACAATCCATCAAGAAGTTCTTTTCAAAAGAAACTCCATCAAAATTGTCAGTACTTCAGTCAGACTAATACTCTTCTTTCTGTGTACACTTTTCCTATTTAGTTAGAGATACCAAACTGCAAAATATTTGCATGCTTGGTCAAATGCAAGTAGATAAATAGGGACCACCTCAGTGGGAAGGTAACAGCGTTCCGTGTCTAAGTTGCACTGGCCATGTGACCACGGAAGATTGTCTTCAGACAAAACGCTGGCTCTATGGCTTGGAAATGGGGATGAGCACCGCCCCCTAGAGTCAAACACGACTGGACAAAAATTGTCAAGGGAAACCTTTACTTTTACCTTGGTCAATTATGAACAATGCATAGATAAAATGTTCGCTTATTTAAAAATACACAAAACAGAATAGAAATGTCTCCTAGCTGCTTCTTCTTTACATCATGAAGGAAAGATGAGCAAATAACGAATCTTTCACATGTATTTCATACTCTGGTATTCACTCTGTTCTTGTGGGAGGAGACAGCATTTTTCTCAAAGAAAACAAAATTATTTCTAGTGTATGTGTCTCTGCAACCATGCACTGGGTATCACCAGAAATTCCTTCAAGAAAATTGGACATTCCTTCTTAATGACAAATTAAGAGTGTCCTGCCATTTACAGTGGTGCCTTGACTTACGAACGTCCCTACTTACGACCATTTCAAGTTACAACCAGCTCCAGCTGCAAAATTTTGCTTCTGCTTGAGACCAGAGCTTCCACTTACAGATGGAAAAAGGCAGGGGGGAAAGACAGGAAATTCAAATTTCTAACTGTAGGTGGCGACGAGGCTGCTTCTTTGTAGCTCTTTTGCCCCAGCAGTTACAGAGTGTATGTAAGAGGAGGCTTGGGACTTCCTCGCTTCTGCTTCTGAGTGAGCGTGTGTGTGTGTTTGCAGGGAGGCTTCGGGCTACCTGGTAAGGTAAGGTGCTGTTTTCTGGTTTTTAAAAACTGTTCTGAGTGTTTTTGCAGCATGGCTTTGAGATGGGAGGGTTATGTTTCTGTGCTGTGATGGGTCTTGGGGGGTTTGTTTGTTTGGGTTTTTCCCCCATTTCCGATGGGTCTTGGAGGTTTTTGTTGTTTTTTAGAGTATTTTTCCCATTTCCGATGGGTCTTGGGGCTTTTGTTTGTTTTTTGTTTCCCCCATTTCCGATGGGTCCTGCATGCTTTCCTTGCTTTTTCCTTTGTTTTCTTTGCATTTCCAACCTGCCCGCTTTGATCTCTGCTTTTCTGCTCAGCTTCATTTGTTTTCTGTGCATTTCCAGTGGGTCTTGAATGCTTGATTGCTTTTCTCGCCCCCCCCCCAAGCCGGAAGGGATTAATCGCATTTCCAATGAGTCTTGCAGTGATTTTTTTGTGTGTGTAATTTTTTCTTCAGCCGGAATGGATTAATTGCATTTCAATGCATTCCTATGGGAAATGGTGTTTCAACTTATGACCTCTTCAAGTTACGTCCATCTTCTGGAAATGGATTATGGTCGTAAATCAAGGCACGACTGTATATCAACCTTATCCATTATGAACAACCAACAACTTTCTTTAATCAAGATTGACAAAATAAGCTAAAAAACATAGGCAGTGATCTACCGTGAGGAAAAGGAAAATTAAGTTAGGCATAAGAATTTTTGTAACTACAAAGCTGCCAAACACACAAGAATGAAAAACTATTTCTAAAAAACCCTTGTCACATCCAGACCTATATTAAAAAGTAGCACGCTCCAAAAAAGGTAAACATATACAGTGGTGCCTCACAAGACGAGCGCTCCGTTTTACAATGAAATTGCATAACAATGAAGTTTTTGCGATCGCAAAACATTGTTTCCTATGGGGGAATTTTGCTTTGCGATGATGGGTTCCCTGCTTTGAGAACCGATTCTCGCAAAATGACAATTTTCCTACAGCTGATCGGCGGTTTCAAAATGGCCGCCGGGTTAAAAAAATGGCTGCCCACTGTTTTCTGGGATGGATTCCTCGATGCACAGGCAGCGAAAATGGCCGCGCTATGTAGGATCTTCACTGGATGGTGAGTTTCAAGCCCATAGGAACACATTAATCAGGTTTTAATGCATTTCTATGGGCTTTTTAATTTCACTTTACAATGTTTTTGTTCTACAGTGATTTCGCTGGAACGAATTAACATCGTAATGCGAGGCACCACTGTATAGTACAAAACAGACACAAACCATACTAGGGAAATTTCAAAGACAGATGGTAGAAAATTTAACATAATTTAGGCTTCAGTTCATTCCAGACTCCAGAACGAACATACTTTGGACCTAATTTGAATTCCAGGTTCCAGGTTTGTAAGATGGCTGGCTTATGAGTAAGTAGGTGCAATGTCACCCTAGAGACAAGTCATTCTTCTAACATGAATTGTTCTCACATTCCAAACTAGCTACATAAACAGACCATTATTTTCTTTACAAACTGCCCTTAGTTGCAGTAAGGCAACTCTTTTCCTTTCTTCTCCCAACTTTGCCATTCACACGGTCACAGTATCCCACATTCTCCTTGCATGTTATCAAGACTAAGAGCCCACTTGTTTAGTGTACTGCCTTCCCACACTATAGAAACTAACATTCTGTTCTGAACAAA